GTTTCATGCTTTGTTACTTTCTCTATGTTTTTTCAAATAATTATTTGCTTATACACTAAAGAAAAAAAATCTTTAATCAATATTTTATTATGAAAGTTAGTATAACTTTTTATACATTTTATCAACTTTGTACTCAAATATGATTTTATACAATTAATCATATTATAAAATGTATATCCTATAAATTCATATATGTAAAACTATATAGTTCTTTTTTGTCATATTTTTTTTGTAATCATAAACTATATAGTTCTATGTCAATTATAATATAACTTTATACAATTTATCACATAATAAATTATGTATATAATTCAGAGTTAGAATATGAGATGTGTAACATTTTTGTATATATTTCTAATACTAATGTTAGAATTAAATCGGTTATATACAAATTTCTATATTAAACATAAGTGATAAAACATAATTATTATATATTTCTATAGATTTAAAATATATCAAAATCAAAACTATTTTATTATTCTTTAATTTTATAACCATATTATAGTATTAGGAAAGATATACCTTGTTGGTAAAGGTTTTTAATTAGTTAATTCGTTTATTAATAACTTGTCTTAATTTATGATCAATTACTTGCGCAAGTTAATACGATGATTACCTTATTGTGCCATCAGTTACTTGTCTTAAATGGTATGTTAATTATTGCAAATTTATGACAGTCAATTTTTAATATCTTTCTTTGATTGCTTCATGTTTATTAAAAGGAAACAAATATTACAAGAACCATAAGACTTTATATATCTCAAGAAATTTCTTTACAAGAATTTTTATAAAAAATATTCCAGGAACCATAAGACTTAATGATAAAATATGATTATTAATTCGTAATTATTATTTAAATTTGATATAATCTGATTTTCTTATTATAAATAATTCTAAACAAAATAATCTTTTTTAGGAAGTATTTTTTTTTAAATATACATTTAATTGAAAAATTTTAAAATTAAATTTTCGTGAAAATATATGTCTATTAAGTAAATTTCTTGTTCTTTTATGATGTAGTTTATTGGTAAATATATACATGTGATATTGCATTAAATGTGTATGTTCTTTATTTCTTAATTAGTTAATTAGGAGATATGATGATTACCTTATTTTGCTATCAATTACTTGCACAAATTTATATGATAATGGTGATTTGAGTTAGAAATGC